GCTAGGTTATACTAATTTCAGAACGTTTTGTTCCTATTGGTTCCTTGGTGCGTCAATTACTTAAAATCTATCTATAATAAAAGGGAGATATATCTAAATCTAGGCCGATTTTCACGAAACAAGGCAGACATCACTCTAGGCTCAATTCAGTACGTTGTGCTAAATTTAGTGCAAATCGAAGGATATATAGAGACTTTGGTGCACCATTTACATGAAATCGGACGAAACTATATATGGGAGCTATATCTAACTCTGGACCGATTTTCTCGAAACTTGGCAGACATCATTCTAGGCTCAAGTCAGTACGTTATGCCGAATTTCGTGCAAATCGAAAGATATATAGGGATTATGGTGCACCATTTACATAAAATCGAACGAAACTATATATGGGATCTATATCTAAATTAGGACCGATTTTCTGGAAACTTGGCAGACATCACTCTAGGCTCAATTCAGTACGTTATGCCAAATTTCGTGCAAATCGAAGGATATATAGGGACTTTGGTGCACCATTTACATGAAATCGGGCGTAACTATATATGGGAGCTATATCTAAATCTGGACCGATATTCTCGAAACTTGGCAGACATCACTCTAGGCTCAATTCAGTACGTTATGCCAAATTTCGTTTAAATCGAAGGATATATAGGGACTTTGGGGCACCATTTACATGAAATCGGACGAAACTATATATGGGAGCTATATCTAAATCTGGACCGATTTTCTCGAAACATGGCAGACATCATTCTAGGCTCAAGTCAGTACGTTATGCCGAATTTCGTGCAAATCGAAAGATATATAGGGATTTTGGTGGACCGTTTACATAAAATCGAACGAAACTATATATGGGAGCTATATCTAAATTAGGACCGATTTTCTCGAAACTTGGCAGACATCACTCTAGGCTCAATTTAGTACGTTATGCCAAATTTCGTTCAAATCGAAGGATATATAAGGACTTTGGGGCACCATTTACATGAAATCGGACGAAACTATATATGGGAGCTATATCTAAATCTGGACCGATTTTCTCGAAACTTGGCAGAAATCATTCGAGGCTCATGTCAGTACGTTATGCCGAATTTCGTGCAAATCGAAAGATATATAGGGATTTTGGTGGACCATTTACATAAAATCGAACGAAACTATATATGGGAGCTATATCTAAATCTGAACCGATATTCTCGAAACATGGCAGACATCACTCTAGGCTCAATTCAGTACGTTATGCCAAATTTCGTTCAAATCGAAGGATATATAGGGACTTTGGGGCACCATTTACAAGAAATCGGACGAAACTATATATGGGAGCTATATCTAAATCTGGACCGATTTTCTCGAAACTTGGCAGACATCATTCTAGGCTCAAGTCAGTACGTTTTGCCGAATTTCGTGCAAATCGAATGATATATAGGGATTTTGGTGGACCATTTACATAAAATCGAACGAAACTATATATGGGAGCTATATCTAAATTAGGACCGATTTTCTCGAAACTTGGCAGACATCACTCTAGGCTCAATTCAGTACGTTATGCCAAATTTCGTTTAAATCGAAAGATATATAGGGACTTTGGAGCACCATTTACATGAAATCGGACGAAACTATATATGGGAGCTATATCTAAATCTTGACCGATTTTCACGAAACTTGGCAGACATCACTCTAGGCTTAATGCAATACGTTATGCCAAATTTCGTGCAAATCGAAAGATATATAGGGACTTTGGGACACCATTTTCATGAAATCGGACGAAACTATATATGGGAGCTATATCTAAATCTTGACCGATTTTCACGAAACTTGGCAGACATCATTCTAGGCCAAAATGATTAGGCTGTACCAAATTTCGTGCAAATCGAAAGATATATAGGGACCGTTTACATTAAATCGGTTAAATATATATATGGGAGCTATATCTAAATCTGAACCGATTTTTCCCAATTTCAATAGGGTTCGTCCTTGGGCCAAACAAATGAGCTGTGCTAAATTTCATCCAATTCGGATCATAAATGCGACCTGTACTTTTCTCACAAAAATACATGGACAGACAGACAGACGGACGGACATGCATAAATCGATTTAGAAAGTGATTCTATGCATATTCTCAAAAGGAACCATGTGTCTATCTCGTTTCCTTTTGCCTGTTACAAACATATGCACAAAGACATAATACCCTGTACCACAGTGTGGTGAAGGGTATAAAAAGCGTTGGATACCCTCCACCATAGGTATATTGACAGATACTTGAAATGAAAATATAGGGAAAATACCAAAAAGGACCTATACCGATAATTCTACAAACGGATTTATGTAAACCTTTATGTGCACCAATAAAATTTTCAGCAATTTTTAATGGAGATTTTTCTAAATGATTATTTCGATGCGTTACAAACGGAAAAACAAAACTAATGTATCCTCCATACTATGGTGGAGGGTATATAAAAGGGGTTATATGGGGACTACCCCTAAATGGTGGAAAATATTAATAACTTTTGGGACGGAGGTTTGTTACCATACACGACTACAAAAAAAAACCAAATTACAAAGTATTTTGTTGAAAATATGTTCAAGAACCCCTAAATATCGAAAATAGGGGGGTACCCTGTTATGGGGGCTATTCAAAAAAATTGACCTATATATATAATTTATAGTGGAGAGATTTGCTACCAGATAAGAACTCGAAGTACTAAATTACAGTCAATTCGGTCGAAAAATACGATCAGAACCCCCAAAATACTGAAAATTCGAGGTACCCTTATATGGGGGCTATCCGAAAAAATTGACCTATACTCATAATTTTTTGTAGGGAGATTTGCTATCACATAAGAACTCAAACTACAAATTTTCAGCGAATTCGATCGAAAAATGCGATCAAACCGATCCGAAAATATGGACCCATATTCATAATTTTTTGTGGAGAGATTTGGTACCTATCAAGAACTCAAAAGAATAAATTAGAGCTAATTGGGCGGAAAATAGATCAAAACCCCCAAAATACTGAAAATTAGGAGGTCCCGTTATATGGAGACATTTAGTACCCAATAAGAACCATATGTAGCAAATTTCAGCGAATTCGGTTAAAAAATGTAGCACTGATGGCTAGGAAATTTAGCATGAGGCTATTGTCAATAACAGTGCAATGGACGGAAAAATTAATTTTTATCTGATCACAAATTTTCGGAATTCGGTTAAAAAATGTAGCTCTGATGGCTAGGAAATTTAGCATGAGGTTATTGTCAATAACAGTGCAATGGACGGAAAAATTAATTTTTATCTGATCACAAATTTTCCATGGGAACGCGATCTGATCAAATAATTTGAATGACTGTCATGATAATGAACGGTCAATATTTAGCTGTTGAAATGAACCAAATCCTTTTTTTTTTTTTTTTTTTGTAAAAACAAAATTTTAATCTTATGGAAACCATGATGCGGAAAAGATGCTGCAGATGAACTGTTGACCTTTTATCGATCAAAGGAACACAAATGTCACGAAACATTACCTAGGCTCAGATTATAGATCCGCAGACACTTAGAGCTCAGTGGCAATTGTGTTGGGTAACACTTGGTTGGCCCCGTCCGACTGTACTGCTCCACTCTCTTTTTATACACTTCACCAAACTGTGGTAAAGGGTATTATGTCTTTGTGTGTTTGTTTGTAACAGGCAAAGTAAAGTGAAAGATCCATAGTTCTCTTTGAGAATATGAATAGAATCAATTTCAGATTCGATTTATGCATGTCCATCCGTCCGTTGGTCTGTCCATGATAAATTGTAAACAAAGTACAGGTGGCATTTATGATCCAATTTGGATGAAATTCGGAACAGCTCATTTAGTTTCATCCGATTTTATGTAAATTATGCATCAAAGACCCAAAGGCCAAAGTTAAGCCGACTGGCACAAAATTTTGCACGACGCACTGAAGTTCAGATTTAGATATAGCTCCCTTATATGATTTTTTCCGATTTTTAGAAAATGGTGCACCAAATACCCAAAGTATCGAGGATTGCCACAACATTGTGCACAACGTACTGAAAATAGTATACCCAAACGTGTGGAAAGTTTTGTTGAAATCGGTTCAGATTTAGATATAAGTTCCATATATAGTTCCGTCCAACTTAACCTAACGTGTGGAAAGTTTCGTTCAAATCGGTCTTCAAAAATTTTAAAAATTTTCTAATTACCCTATGAAATATTCAAATTTCAGTTCGATTTAGTTTTTAATTATTCTAAATACTAAAAGCTTTGCAATTTAGCCTAAATATAAATTGTATTAACGAGGTCAATATAATCGTATCGTTATCAACAAAGTGTTCATGCAGTCAAGCGTAAAATGTGTTATCAACTAAATACATGTTTTGTGTACGTATTAATCAAAGCCAAAAAAGAAACTACTTAAAACAATTTCGAACTAAATTAGCTAAAAATATTCGAATAAAATCAAATAAATGAAATTAGAAAACAAATTGCCATTACCCGTTCCCGCAAGCGTTTTCTTTAAACAAATTTTTTGTTGTTGTTTTTGTTTGGTGTAAGTTAAGAATTGCTTTTAATAATATTCTGGTTAGAGAGCGCGCGCACACATACATACACAAAAGAGCATAAAAATAGAAACAAATTTGAAATTATTAATAATAAAAAAGATCAAGGCATGTTTTTGGAAACAAGAAAGTTTAGAAAAGAGATTTGAAAAAAAAAATATCAATACAGTGAATACCAAAAGTATGTAACCAATTAGTGATGGAATGAGAAAAACCAATCAAAATGATGCAATAAACCAATATAATGACAGAAAGAAAGGGAAGAGAAGTAGGTGAGGAATAAGTCAAAATTTTGTGCATTTTTGTCGTAGTATTTGTGCAATATAAATGAAAAGATGCAAAATAAAATTTGGAAATATAGAATTGTAGTGTAGTTTGGAATTTGTTGTTTTTTTTTGCATGAAACCAATAGTGTTGAATTAAAAAAAAATCAAGGGATATTGAAGAATTGTTTACCCTAAATTTCCATTGCGAGTATGTAATGGGCAATTTCTTATCTCTACTATTCTGTGTACTATTTTGTATCAGACGTCTAGACACTTCCATATCGTTGGTCATCGTCGTGTGCAGTGCTGCCTCACTAGCACCTGTCGCATTCATGTAATTTGTTCGACCATTCTGTAGAGCCATTACCTGTGCAGCTATAACGGCATCTGTGTAATCTGCACCAGCACCACTGCCACCACCAACTGATGCCGCGGCTACTCCATTACCATTGGTATTCGGTGGCATGTATTGATCCAGTGGTGAGGAGTGCCGATAATTGGGATTCCACGAAGCGCGTGCCTTTAGACCATTTTCAAGGCGTATGCTGTTCGAACGTCTAGCTGGTGTTTCATCACCAGCTAAATCTGCCGCCGAATAGTAAATTGTGTTGCGCGATTGTGACAATGATTTGCGATGAGCAGCTGCGGCCGCAGCAGCCTCTGAATCGGCTAGGGAGATGGTATCGAAATATAAACTTTCACGATCATCCATTTCCGATTCGGGATAATCGTAGTCGTGTGTACGAACTGGAAATATAAACAAATGTTGGAAAATCATTAAATATTTATCATCAAACACATGGGTAAAGATCAATAAAAACAAAACAATAGAACTACTTGCATTGTTATGACTACAAAGAAAAAAAAAACAGAAATTAGACAAGCCAATCCATGCTAATACAAATAATTTATTACAATGACATCTATTGACAAAAGGTGTGCGATGACAGACAGTAATGTTAGGTTTGTAATTGATTAGTTGATATGGGTATTAGATAATGTTTGTGTTTGTTATGGATGGGGAAAAGTGTTTACATTTGGATTTATTGTTATTAAATGATAAACAATTCTTTTATCATCAATTACTGAACTCATATATGAATTTTAACAACTTGGGAAGGTTATATAGAATTACGTTTATAACGTAATATGTAATGCCATGCAAATATATAGGGGACTTTGGTGCACCACTTACCTTAAATCGGACGAAACTATATGTGGGAGCTATATCTAAATCTGAACCGATTTTCTCGAAACTTGGCACACATCGTTCTGCACCTAATTCAGTACACTATGCCAAATTTCATGCAAATCGAAAGATATAGAGGGACTTTGGTGCGCCATTTACCTTAAATCGGACGAAAATATATATGGGAGCTATATCTAAATCTGAACCGATTTTTCCCAATTTCAATAGGGTTCATCCTTGGGCCAAATAAGTGACTTGTGCCAAATTTCATCCAAATCGGATCATAAATGCGACCTGTACTTTGTTTACAATTTAACATCTACAGACGGACGGGCAGACGGACGCATATTCTCAAAAGGAACCATGTGTTTGCCTGTTACAAACATATGCACAAAGACATAATACCCTGTACCACAGTGTGGTGAAGGGTATAAAAATGTACCGAGAACCATAAATATAGCTATAAAGGAGCTCCATCTATATACATGGAGGCTATACAACAAGGCCGCAATTTAAAATTCTTGGTTGGCAGAAGAAGAAATATGGAAAATTAACCAGTGAGCGGAGCAGTATAGTCGGACGGGGCCGACCATACGATACCCTACACAACTACCACCGAACTCAAATTTTCTGCGGATGTTTATTCCGAGACTGGGCAATATTTCGTGATATTTGCACCATCTTGCCCGATTAGAGGTAAACAGCACCTCTTCCTCACACTAACATATTTTCCTAATATTACGAGTCTTCAGTACAGCTATTGTCCAGATTCCCTTCACAGTGGGTTGTGTTGCGATGTTCGGCTTTCATTTGAGGTCTATAGATCGACTCGAAAATAACACAAACCAGTGAGCGGAGCAGTATAGTCGGGCGGGGCCGACCATACGATACCCTACACAACTACCACGGAACTCAAATTTTTTTCGGATGTTTATTCCGAGCCCGGGCAATATTTCGTGATATTTTCACCCTCTTGCCCGATTAGAGGTAAACAGCACCTCTTCCTCACACTTTTCCGAATATTACGAGTATTCAGTACAGCTATTGTCCAGATTCCCTTCACCGTGGGTTGTGTTGTGATGTTCGGCTTTCATTTGTGGTCTATAGATCGACTCGAAAATAACACAAAAAATTAACTTTTCGGTCCACTTCATTCCAAAATTATTATCTGGTCATCACCGAAAATTATAGGCGTTGTCCTTGACCATAACTGGAACCTCATGGAACATTTCAAAGCGATCAGCGCTATAGTTCAGCTCTCCAGAGTGATAATGGGTTACTAAATAATATACAAATACGGAGATACCTGTAAATATTTAGGTGTAACTCTCTCATCCGAGCACATACAACAATATAATTGGTCTTAATTTAAAGGTCAACCACTCCTCTTGGATATAATATCAACTTCTCGGGTATATGTCCTTCAGGGGTAAATATATATGCCATATAATACACATTTTGTCATTTTTCACACAAAAGTCAGGCTCCATTTGACCCGCTAAATATTGACCGATCTTTATCAAAACATGCATGCTTATTATTTGGCTTGATCCCCTTCTCCATGCAAAATTTCAAGATGTTCGAGCCATTATTGCGGCCTCTGGAGCGACCAGAAAAACCGACAAAAATTTAGTATTTGGTCCATTTCATCCCCTAAATATTAACCGATCTTTCCCTAAAACAATAGGGGTCTTCATTGGCCAGAACCCATCCTACATGCAAAATTTCGTGAAGATTGGTCCATAACTGTGGCCTGTATCGTGTTTACAAATTATAATGGACAGACGGACGGACGGACGGACGGACGGACACACATGTCTAGATCGACTCAGCTAGTCGAGATATGACGATCGGTATACTTAAAGGTGGGTCTAGGACCAATATTTCGCGGCGTTACAAACTTTTGGGGCTGCACAAAGCTATAATACCCTGACAACATAGTTGTGTAGGGTATAACCAGTGAGCGGAGCAGTATAGTCGGGCGGGGCCGACCATACGATACCCTACACAACTACCACGGAACTCAAATTTTTTTCGGATGTTTATTCCGAGCCCGGGCAATATTTCGTGATATTTTCACCCTCTTGCCCGATTAGAGGTAAACAGCACCTCTTCCTCACACTTTTCCGAATATTACGAGTATTCAGTACAGCTATTGTCCAGATTCCCTTCACCGTGGGTTGTGTTGTGATGTTCGGCTTTCATTTGTGGTCTATAGATCGACTCGAAAATAACACAAAAAATTAACTTTTCGGTCCACTTCATTCCAAAATTATTATCTGGTCATCACCGAAAATTATAGGCGTTGTCCTTGACCATAACTGGAACCTCATGGAACATTTCAAAGCGATCAGCGCTATAGTTCAGCTCTCCAGAGTGATAATGGGTTACTAAATAATATACAAATACGGAGATACCTGTAAATATTTAGGTGTAACTCTCTCATCCGAGCACATACAACAATATAATTGGTCTTAATTTAAAGGTCAACCACTCCTCTTGGATATAATATCAACTTCTCGGGTATATGTCCTTCAGGGGTAAATATATATGCCATATAATACACATTTTGTCATTTTTCACACAAAAGTCAGGCTCCATTTGACCCGCTAAATATTGACCGATCTTTATCAAAACATGCATGCTTATTATTTGGCTTGATCCCCTTCTCCATGCAAAATTTCAAGATGTTCGAGCCATTATTGCGGCCTCTGGAGCGACCAGAAAAACCGACAAAAATTTAGTATTTGGTCCATTTCATCCCCTAAATATTAACCGATCTTTCCCTAAAACAATAGGGGTCTTCATTGGCCAGAACCCATCCTACATGCAAAATTTCGTGAAGATTGGTCCATAACTGTGGCCTGTATCGTGTTTACAAATTATAATGGACAGACGGACGGACGGACGGACGGACACACATGTCTAGATCGACTCAGCTAGTCGAGATATGACGATCGGTATACTTAAAGGTGGGTCTAGGACCAATATTTCGCGGCGTTACAAACTTTTGGGGCTGCACAAAGCTATAATACCCTGACAACATAGTTGTGTAGGGTATAACCAGTGAGCGGAGCAGTATAGTCGGGCGGGGCCGACCATACGATACCCTACACAACTACCACGGAACTCAAATTTTTTTCGGATGTTTATTCCGAGCCCGGGCAATATTTCGTGATATTTTCACCCTCTTGCCCGATTAGAGGTAAACAGCACCTCTTCCTCACACTTTTCCGAATATTACGAGTATTCAGTACAGCTATTGTCCAGATTCCCTTCACCGTGGGTTGTGTTGTGATGTTCGGCTTTCATTTGTGGTCTATAGATCGACTCGAAAATAACACAAAAAATTAACTTTTCGGTCCACTTCATTCCAAAATTATTATCTGGTCATCACCGAAAATTATAGGCGTTGTCCTTGACCATAACTGGAACCTCATGGAACATTTCAAAGCGATCAGCGCTATAGTTCAGCTCTCCAGAGTGATAATGGGTTACTAAATAATATACAAATACGGAGATACCTGTAAATATTTAGGTGTAACTCTCTCATCCGAGCACATACAACAATATAATTGGTCTTAATTTAAAGGTCAACCACTCCTCTTGGATATAATATCAACTTCTCGGGTATATGTCCTTCAGGGGTAAATATATATGCCATATAATACACATTTTGTCATTTTTCACACAAAAGTCAGGCTCCATTTGACCCGCTAAATATTGACCGATCTTTATCAAAACATGCATGCTTATTATTTGGCTTGATCCCCTTCTCCATGCAAAATTTCAAGATGTTCGAGCCATTATTGCGGCCTCTGGAGCGACCAGAAAAACCGACAAAAATTTAGTATTTGTTCCATTTCATCCCCTAAATATTAACCGATCTTTCCCAAAAACAATAGGGGTCTTCATTGGCCAGAACCCATCCTACATGCAAAATTTCGTGAAGATTGGTCCATAACTGTGGCCTGTATCGTGTTTACAAATTATAATGGACAGACGGACGGACGGACGGACGGACGGACACACATGTCTAGATCGACTCAGCTAGTCGAGATATGACGATCGGTATACTTAAAGGTGGGTCTAGGACCAATATTTCGCGGCGTTACAAACTTTTGGGGCTGCACAAAGCTATAATACCCTGACAACATAGTTGTGTAGGGTATAAAAATTAAGTTTTCGGTCCACTTCATTCCAAAATGTTTTTCTGATCATCACCGAAAATTATATGCGTTGTCCTTGACCATAACTGGAACCTCATGGAACATTTCAAAGCGATCAGCGCTATGGTTCTGCTCTCCAGAGTGATAATGGGTCACTAAATAATATACGAATACGGAGATACCTGTAAATATTTAGGTGTAACTCCCACATCCGAGCACATACAACAATATAATTGGTCTTAATTTAAAGGTCAACCACTCCTTTTGGATATAATATCAACTTCTCGGGTATATGTCCTTCAGGGGTAAACATATACGCCATAGAATATAAATTTTGTCATTTTTCACACAAAAGTCAGGGTCCATTTGACCCGCTAAATACCAAACAG